AGCAGGGATTGGGTAAAGGGACTATAAAATAGATTAAAAATAAATTAGAACATAAAGATAAAAAAAAAAGTCAGCAGCCAAAACAGCATACCCAGCTGCTCACTGCAGACAATTGGCCAGATCAGCCTCGGAGCTAATGATTAGCTGAATCCACCTTGAGATTCCCTGAGTATTTCCTCCGATTTAAAATGTTTGGGTTAACAGAACATATAAAAGGGACACTATTATACAGCCAAGTTTAGTGTGGATAGAGCTTAGAAAGCATTCATACAGTTCAGGAATGCCATTCTAACAGACATTCATATGCAGTTTGTTCCTACAGAAATAGTAACTAGAACCATATTGTGGACAGTGCCCAAAGCTGCTCCTCCTCTTTGGTTTTTGTAGCTGCTTTGCTTGTAAGAAAATGCTTCAAGCTACAAAGATATTTTTTAAATGCTGAACAATGTGCCTCCAAATAACATTTAAGTGTTTTTCCAGTCAGCAAGACAGAGGTCGTTAAGTGTAAATTAAAGACATTCAAGGATAATGGTCAGATTTAATGTCTGATATTCAACATGTATTCTAATTACAGGTGACAAAATATATCAACATTCCACCCCACCCAGAAAACAAATACTTCCCCTCCACCTTTGCAGCAGTCTAAACGCAGCTATAACCAACCTTATACGTAGGGGAAAAGGCTTGCTTGGTTTCTTGAGGCCTGATCATTCAGAAGGCCGTTTTCTTTGCAGTCTCACACTTTGAGGGGCCTACAAGATGTACAAGCTTAAAAAAAAAAAATCAGAGCAAACCATACTGTTCTCAGCCAGTCTACCCTGTACTTTTTCAGCATTAACAACTTGGGTTTTGTTTCAAGATGGTGACCCATCTTAGCATGTAAGAGAATACCAAAGGCAGCAAGACCCCTTCAGAGTCAATTTTCAAGAACGAAATCTGCCTTACAACCAAGGTTGCCATTAGTGTCACTGGTTTACCTCATGGTCACATCACTTGTTAGTGGTTTAATTCAGCAACTTTAAAGCTTGGAAGGCACCACGTGCTTGTTCCAGTTAAAACACACTGGAGCAGACTCAATTTAATCTAATCGGAACGCTCCAGCATGCTGCAGGCTCTCATGTATTCAGCACCCATGTTTCAAAACAGGGGCCAGGGTGCTTTAACTAAAGCTTGTTGAACAACACCCCCTCCCTGCTCCAGCATGTGTATAGGTGGCCCTGAGAGCCTAGGGCTAAATACAAATACCCCCCTGGTTAATCCATAAAATCACAGAAAATTGGAAGGCACCTCTGAAGGTCATCTAGTCCAACCCCCTGCTCAAACCAGGACCATCCCCAGCTAGACCATCCCAGACAGGGCTTTGTCTAGCCAAGGTCTTAAAAACCTCCAAGGACGGAGATTCCCCCACCTCTCTGGGTAACCTGTTCCAGTGCTGGACTACCCTTTACTAATGAAAAAGTTTTTCCTAACATCCAACCTAAACTTCCCTTGCTGCAACTGGAGACCGTTGCTCCTTGTTCTGCCATCTGCCATCAATGAGAACAGTTTAGCTCTGTCATCTTTGTAACCAACTGCCTGAAAGGTAAAGGCTGCTCTTAAATTCCCCTCAGTCTTTTCTTCTTCAGACTGAACAAGCCCAGTTCCCTCAGCCTCTCCTCATTAAGTCCTGTCCCCCAGCCCTCTAACCACTTGTGTTGCCCTCTGCTGGGCTCTCTCCAATCTGTCCACATCCTTTCAGTAGTGGGGCGCCCCCAAACTGGACACAATACTACAGATATGGCATCACCAGTGCTGAAACTGCTTAGGGAGGAGGAGCATCCAAACTGGCATGGGGCAGTGTGTTACACCTGAACCTTAAACAGCCATCACTTCATCATTTCATAGTTGTCAAGGGCTGGAAGGGGTCTTACAGATCATCGGGTCCAGCCCCCCTGCACCCGGCAGGAAAGACTGCTAGGGTGAGCTAGCTGGGATGGTTTGGAGGTGAAGCACCCACACGGAGACTTCTCCAATACGGCACAGGGGACAACAGGGGCAGAGCCCTGCAGCTGGATTCAAAGCTTTTGTGGCCTACAAGCTGGCAGATTTGGCTCCCATGGCCCTGGAAGGGCCCAGGAGGGGAATCACAGAAAGCAGGGGTGGAAGTGACCTCAGGAGATCACATCTTGTCCAACTGCTCAAAGCAGGACCAGCCCCAACTACATCACCCCAGCCAAGGCTTTGTCCAGCCAGATCTTAAAACCGTTCAAGGAGGGAGGTCCCACCACTTCTCTGGGCAGCCCCTTCCAGCCAGGACGTTTTTGAATCCCCAAGCCTTGACTATGCGCTCCCACAGAGGGGGCCTCCTGTCCGGCCTTCGCTGCATTTTAAGGCGCGCTTCCTGGCCCACCCGTGCCCAAAGGGTGCGCTGCAGGCTGGGCACAGCCCGGCTCCCCCCTCGCCTTCACTGTGTCCCCTCCGCACCCGCGCTCCAGGCGGGGGCAGCCCGGGGCCAGTCACCCCGCGCCCC